CTCAGAATTCCAACTTTTTTCTCAGAATTCCAACTTTTTTCTCAGAATTCCAACTTTTTTCTCGGGATTCCGACTTTCATAATTTTGACTTTTTTCTCAGAATTCTAACTTTTTAAACTGATTAAAGTCATAATTCTGAGATTATTCAGAATTCTTTTTTTTTCTCTGTAATCATCTTTTGTAGTATTTTACTCCAGCTGTTGACGTAACTTGAATTTACTGCCTCTTTAAAATACTCCTTATTAAAAGTCGCRTGTAGTCTGACTGTGAAAGTTGCTCAGGGGGTTTAATTTACAAACATTTTTCTTACACAATCATTATGAACATCTGTAATAATTAACAAGTAAACTAGAMATTTTCTTGCACTGTGTGGTTAAATTATGTCTTCCACTTCAAATCCAACAAACTGAAAGTCCATTTGTATTTTGATTTCTAAACGACGTGTACTGTTTGAACTCACCTCCGATGACCTCTACAAACTCAGAGCCCGCCATAGCGAGGAAAGGCACCTGGGCTTCTGTAGCCACAGCTTTAGCCAGCAGAGTCTTGCCACACCCGGGGGGCCCGAGAAGCAGCGCACCCTTCGGAACTTTGGCTCCCAGCTGAAGGTATCGTTCTGGACTCTGTCGATAAATAACAACAAACAAGTAAATGAAATTAGAGAAACGCTGAGAGTTGTTAAAGTGCCTGTGATGTGAGAACAAATTTATAGTTATGGAACATAAAACAAATTGTTTTTTACCCATTTTGTCACATAACTGGCATGTTTTATTTTGAAGTTGGCTCAGCCAAGGTGAAACAGGAAGTGACATCAAAAGGGAGCTATTTAAAAATAAAACACTAATTTATAATTACTTAGAAACAATATTATTTGAACTCTGAGTCTTCTTCATCTCTGATAGTGACTCKAAATAATCTAAAGAAACATCAGATGCTTCTCTTCAGTCTATGTTGTTAATTATTGTAGCAGAGCCCTGTTCACATGCAGACATTCCCCTTTGACATCACTTCCTGTTTCCTCACATGCAAATATCTCAACAACTGTTCATCTCAGTGGTGTGATTTTTATTTTTTGCAATATTACCAATGTTATCTTTCCAAAAATGTTCTCATATTTATAACAAAAAAATGATGRGACAGGCACTTTAAAGTTTTCTTAATCAGAACACACATACTGTATATATACACAAGCAACAGAACAGTGGCTAAAACATGKGAAACTTAAACAAATTTGCAGCAACCGTTAGCTGAAAAGATCTGAAAACTTACACTTGAACAGAAGCTAAAATGAGCAGAATTGTAGCTAAAAGCAGATGCTAAATTAAAGCAGCAAAACATTTGTTAGAGCTAAAATTATGAAAACATGCAAGAAATTATAACTGCAGCTACACATACTGTATCTAAACAGATTCAAAATTGAACACTAGTAAAACAGACGCTACAATTAGCTAAATTCTAGTTAAAAAGTTTATAAAAACTGATACAAACAGTAGAACGTATGTGCTGTAAATATAAGTCTATGAAGGCTCAGTAGAAGATACCGGTGTGGTTTCTTACCTTCAGATAGTCAACAAACTCCTTCACCTCCATCTTGGCCTCATGCATGCCRGCTACATCTTTAAACCTCACGCCTTTCCCAGACGTCCCGTCTATGATGGTGAACTTGGCCATCTTCAGCTGATTCTGTGTTTGTCGGGAGAGGACGTTAGCAGTAGCACGCCTGCCGGTCTGATCGGTGAAACAAAACAAGCGCACGGCTACGCTGTATTTACTTACTAAGGCATTGAAGCCGTCGCGGGCAGTCCGCCCTACTGCTCTGAAGAAATACCAGAGAATCCCGAAACCCACAGCAGCCATGCCCAGAGTAACGACTACGCTGAAAAAAGATGAAAAAATTAAATGTCATCACAAAAGTTCTGTAAAACCAGCCTCAACAGATTATTTATTTTAAGAAACTATTAGTTTTAAAGCAGGAGTTCTCAAACTTCTAATTCAAAATACTCTAAAAGTTTTGGTCCAGAATATTTCATTTGTAACCTTTGACTTCAGAGATGACTAAAGATGATTTATTGTAATCTAAAGCTATTAGAAATGACAGGCATATAGTTAAAGCAGGGAAAAATATAAATAAAAAATTCAAATTTTCCAGTTTGCTTTGTACAACTGAGTACTATTAGGGCCACACAACAAGATTTTTTTAAAATTACGAGAATAAAGTCATAATATTACGAGAATAAAGTCATAATA